ATATATATGTATATATCTATATATATGACCCGTGTTCGTGGACCCAAACAGCGTCGTTTGCATTTGTACCAACTTACTAGAAGTAGCTTAATTACGCACGCCTTTTCACGGAACGAAGAATTGAACCGTAATGCCCACATATGCACCTTCAGTACTCTCCGTGTATACACGAGACATTCCCCACCCTACATTTCCCGGTGTGGTGATGATGAATACTCAATGATCCATTGAGTGAGCTGCCAGAGCTCCTAAACCACGTTCTTTCTCAACATACGAGACACGCCGGATGACTTTCCATACGTAATTCGGCGCGTTCGCAGTAAACCTGTGACTTAGACTCGTGTTTCGTAATAGGCACATCGCCATCACCATGGAAACCAAATTGACGCGGACCTGGAGAAACTCACCACTCCTAGTGAGACACCAGTACAGCGTGTTCCACAGTCAAGTACAGAACTTTCGAGATGTGCTAGGCGGACTTGTTCCAACGCCGAGAAACCCAGAGTGTGTCTCTCCTCACCATAAAATCCTTAGTCCTACCGCAGGTTGCGAGGGGCAACGGTTCCCGTAGTATCTACCAGCGCGCTACTACGCTTAACCGCTATACCGAAGGAGACCTTAACGCTTGTTGCATGATGTTAAACAGAACCCTCGGCACGTCCCAGAAAACCATACTCTCGCTCTATGCCGGTGCCTCCATAGTGTCTCTAAATGCGATACTGTGCTTAACCCCATCCACACAAAACGCGCGATATTGTAGCGGCTACTGGTTTTAGGCCTACGAACAATCGGCACAATAGTGGATCACGCGATGACCCAACACTCACCGCTACTTCCTGAGAGACTTGGCATTGATGTTTGCCGCAAAGATTCCCTCAAAACATTACCGGCGTGGCCAATGGCCGTATCCATACAATATCATAGCCCTACTACACCTAAATATGATCCCAGGTTGCCCCTGAACGTATGTAGTAGAGCAATGACGATCACTCATAATACCAGTACCTGCTGCACACACAGACCCCTTCATTACGTTCCGACACTCGTCCAAAATCGCTATCGCTGACTTCTGGATCTAGACCGCCTTCACCACATACACTTTGTAGCGTGAAGGCGCGCACACTCACCGCTTCAGTAAGCGAGCCATCAATGCCTGCTGTACTGATTCCTTCATAACCTTGGGCACATGGCGGATAGTCATGCTCACACGGGTGCCCCGTTCCAGGACTTCATTTATAGCCAGAGCGTGTGTTGACTGAGTCCTATTCAATACTTTCTCATCCACTATGTCGGCGGAGGTATCTGATATACCATGTAGGTATGTCCTATAGCAATCGTCCTTGACCACAAACAGGCTACGTGGGGGTAGGTAGATCTTAAACTCTGGCTCATTACCATCATCCCTGTAGCGTTGGAGAGATCGCAATTGTATGCGCGATTAATTCGGCCCGGAGATGGATGGGCCATACAAGAACAGAGTGTCTCTCAAGAATGTCCACAATACTATTGAGCTTTTCGGCTCGCATCACATGGCACTCGGCAAGGCTTATGGTCCCATCCACGCTGACTAAGTAGTTTCGCATTACTTGTGTGTCCAGTGACGATATATTGTCATCTATGTAAATTGTAGAAGAATTCAAAATTGGATATGTATATATATATATATATATATCACTTGTAGTAAGTAACAGTATGCATATCACACTTTTTAATGCAATTTCCGCGAGGAGCGCCAACGATTGCTGCGCTAGGGGCAGAATCATATAATTACACATCAGGCAGAGCCCATTGTGACTTCGTATATGATGGTTAATTTTGAAACTCACTATGATTTCGTACGCAGTGGTACGCTATTCTGTTCATATGCAGAACGGTTAGTAGAGTATATAGCCCCCTGACCACTCACTCGAACTTGATTCACAAGGAAACTGTCATGTCGGAACATGTACCACTTCACCACGATACCAATATACTCAAAAACACCCAATTCAACCATCTCTTTTCAAAAAGGCAAGCGAACTTGCAGAATACGACATTTCCATCAGGTATGATTGTACCGAACAGCTCGCTCACTGTGCACTACACTAGCTATCCACTGCCTGTACACTCACTTACGAGTGGTGCATTTCCTGACCATACCCGTGCTAACACACAGTTACATACTTTCCCGCTTCAGTCCCATCTTCCGCTTCAGCCCCAGCTTGCGGGTCATCCTTGTCGGGTTGCCTCCGGTGAGGATAGAATTCAAGTAGGCAATGCGATCTCAAGGTTACCGTCGCAATTGTGGGCGAGAATACGGGCCCGTCTTCGTGTGGCTGTAAAGTAGCGAGTCCGATTGTGATTTCGAGGACATACAGATACGTGCGCAGCCCACTCCCCATGCGGACGCGAGGCCAGAGACACTTTGACAGGTATGAGTCGATACAGCCGCCTGCTTGGACATCATTGACATCTACTGTTCGGTACCATCGGCGGTTAAAGTCAAGCCGCGAGCAAGCCAATGACTACTCGTACGGAAACACAACAACTGCGGGATGTGCCACGTTCAGTGTGGCCTGGTATTTTCGCAAGATTTGCAGAGACGTACACACGAATGTCACGATTCTTGGTTTAGCTCCAGCTATACTAACCACGCCACTTTATGGACAAAATTAACAACTAACTGCTGGAACGCCATCAAACGAAACGATACCATAGCACCGTACGAGGGCATAATACAGCACGGTGCACTGACATCTTAGAACACCACACAATGACTTACTATAGCACCATACCATGACCTGTTACAGAACCATACGAAATAATATAGCACCATACAATGGCATGTTATAGCCCCATACAATGACATAATATAGCATCATACAATACTTACTACAGCAGCATACAATGCATACTATAGTATCATACCATGACTCTTACAGCACTATACGAGGGCATAATATAGAACCCAATGACATGTTATAGTACCACACAATAAAATAATATAGCCCAATGTCATGACCTATTACAAAACCATACGAAGACATAACACAGCACCATACAATGGCATGTTATAGCCCCACACAATGACATAATATAGCACCATACAATGTTTACTATTTCACCATGCAATGCATTCCATGACCTATTACAATACCACATGAATACTTAATATAGCACCATGCTAGAACTTACTATAGCACCAAATAACTACATACCAAAATACCCTGACCAGGTAGATACTCATTGACGAGCACATGATTCGGCTGTTGTCCTGAGGGAAATACAGAGCCAGCGCTCAAGTTTTCGCATTGCTCAGTCAGCCACTGGTAATGGTTTGTAGTAAGTCGGCGAAGATTGAAAGAAATAGAGAGGCTGAGAGGGCATACTTGAAGTATTTATTAGAAGTCTATTATGCTGAGCCAAGGAAGATAAAAACACATGTCAGGGCAATACAGGTGAGTGATATTGAACTACGCGTGCGAAGCTACTCAACGAAAACTCTTGGCTGATAGTTTGTGGCGTCAAAAACATAAAGCAGACAGAAGTATGGTCTAAAATGGGCCGGCCCTGGGGAAAGACATGCGTTTTGAAAATAGAGCGTGAGTAGCAAAAGATCCATTGATTTGATATGGAAAAACAATTAGCAACAGCGAGCTACTAAAGTCCAATTCTAAAATTATACTGGCCAACAAGCAAGAGAGCGCGAGTAGTTTCGAGTCTTCCATACTATATCAGCCTAAATTACATACTGACACAAGAAGAATATCTGCAAACATATAAAACTACGTATACGGGTGGGAATCAAACATGTTCATGAAGTCGAAATTCATACGAATACGTTCGCTCATGATATATATATATATATATATACATATATATATATATATATATATATATANATATATACTACAACATACACTATATATATATATATACACTATACACACATACACGCACACACACACATACGCACACACACACACATACGCACACATATTATTGATTCATATAGACATTGATATAAATATACAAGATACACATTTACGTATATAGATATACGTGTATTGTGTATGGTGAAGTAGATATCGGCATCATCGTATCTGCGTGGTCTCACATACTTAATATTTATTCATCACTCAGCTTTTATGAATACGCACGTAGCACGTACAGAATACACACCTGTGGCAAGCCCTCTTTCACCATACCCTTGTGGCTGGGCAAACCACCCCAGTTCTGCAGCCGTCGATTAAGCAGAGAAGTCCATTTCTTAGATCCGTCATATATCTGATTTATATATATGCACATGTGGAAATCAGCGAGTATGAACATGGTTCAAAGAGTTGGGTGATTCATATACACGCAAAATCAACATAATAGCCAGACAATATGTATGTCTTTGAATTGTGTATGTGATTTATGTTTCAGTTTCCTACTCCCGATAGGATGCCGCGTCTACTGCACATGTACTCGTTTGTTGCCTTTTATATCCATACGTATTCGTAGCCAGAACAATGCCGATGTAGGTGAGCAGGTCGTCACCTATGTATATGTACAATACATAATATATTTATTTTGGTTTTTATTGTCGTGTACATATATGCATCTATATATGTATTTATTATGATTTCGATAAATTTATAAATAATATGGTGTAGTTCTTCGTATTCATTAATAGTTCTTCGTTCAATTAGATACACAGAAAACTTATTTTATGTCAACAGTATGTTATGTCGACAGACACATGATTAGCATTAATACGGGCGTGCGTGTACTTGATCTAGTACTACATGAACAGGCTATTTTAATGATGCAACCACGTTAGAGACAGAGTATATTCAGACTTGAGTACTTCTGGCGCAACATAGCAACTTTATGTATTAACTTTTCGAAACCACAACTAGTTTTTTTAAAGGGATAACCTAAGTGTTGGATCGTAGTTTTCGTTGCCATGTACACAGGAACACAGTTGTACTTACCTTACTTAAAAATAGGGTTTCTTGATCAGCAGATATGAAATCGAAAACACAGTACAAGCTCGGTGGGGCACCCTCTATAAGGTGGCCCTCTATTATGGGCTTATCATCTTGATGACGTATCATGCTGCTACTATGGTCGTTGGAAAGCTGAACAGACTTTGTATCAGACACACAGTAGTAAAGTACATTTACAAACTACTGTTGACTACATGTGATATGATTATTGTGATATGATTATGATATCATAATCAGAATTGTCTCTTTTTGTACTAAAAAAAAACAATATTTACTTAGAGTCACAAACCCTGAACCCTAAACCCATCTGCGGCATTTCCTCTGTGTCCTGTGTTTTGTTTAGAAAATATTAAAGTTGTCGGAAGTTTTGCATGTTTGCAACAGGGGACTGAACGATTTTAGACGCAAGTTCACAATCGTAGCAACCTGCAAACTACTTGCGTTATCCGTCCAAAACATATGTTAATTCACAAAGAGGGCTATCCACAGGATATTGAAACACTGTATATGTACATAAACCAATATATTACACGCAAATGGAGATTGATTTATAAATTATAGTTCTTTAAAAGCACCATGACAGAGGTTGTATTATGCCCCAATCAGATTGAATGGCTCGAGATTTGTGCTCATCAGTATCATCTATCAGTCAGTGATGTACTCGCCAAGCTGGTCAACTTCGTCAATTCAGGTAAATACCAAAGCCTCGTGTATGATCCTGTAGCTCAGAATCTAAAACTAATTGGAACACGTGCGTCTGTTTCTGAACCTCGTTCGCGCACCGACCAAGATCTCGCCATCTGGTATTGGTATAACGCACAACTTCTATAAAATGGGTTTATGCATACGTGTTCTCCAAATAAACTCTAGTCGGGCTATATGTATGGGTTCTGATTGCCGATTGCAGCTTTGGTACTCCAATGCAGTTACCTATCAGAACAAAGATGCGTAGAATCCGTCTCGAATCCAGCTTGTATCTCTCTTTCTACGAACCTAAATTCTTGAGCAGGTGATTTTTCACCTGCCGATTGCACTAGCTGTACCTCCATATGTCAAGTCACGATCAACATATATCATATATATATATATATATATATATATATATGTGTGTGTGTGTGTGTGCGTGTGTGTGTACATATATATGTTCGATTTTTCAATTGCAGACAAGCTATCCAATAAGCAGTCCACTTTCGATATATGATTAAACGTTTCTTGTATAAGAGACGTCATCTCACATTTGCCGCTCCCTTACTTGCTCTGGTCTTGCTGCAAGCAGAATCTAAAGAAAGGAAACGAATTGTGTTTACACAAATTCGTTGTGGGAGATGTACTCAAGCAACCACTGGTGGCAAGAAGGCAACCGTAGAATTAAACTTTCTGCCTGAACACATTGCTTGGTAAGCTGGATATCCCATGGAATATGTGCTGCACTCTATATACTTGTGGATTCTGTCTCACTATTAGGAATCAAAATCTGTACATTCTTACAAAGTGTGCCATAGATAGTCTACTGTATGTATATCTCTTTTTGCGATGGGTAGCCTTACATCGTCCTATTGTTGTCGCAGAACCTGTTATATTTATATCAAATAAATTCACGTACATTTGGGTGTGGCACCGAAATTCCGCTTGTTACAGGTTCGTTTCATCACATTTTAGGCAGCATGTAGTATACTAGTTGCAATGTACTCTGGAGCGTAGTATGTCAATCCTTAGCCTAACTTCTGAATTATGGTGCTTGTATGCGTCTGGTACTGTCATATAATGAACAGTGCATGCCATGCCTTTCCTTAAGTTCTCTATACACATCATAAGCTCCCGCTACACTACACAAAACGCTAAGGGACATACCGTAGGCTTATTTTCTGTGAACAAATCTTAATCAATAAAAACTTCATAACACGACAGGCTCGAGAATGTGCGAGATAGATGCCAGCATTCCTCAATGTCTAAGACTCTCCGGGTCATGTTCGACTTTTACATACCGGCTTTGCAAGCTTCAGATCTTGACACATTGTTTGGGGTTGACATGTCCTAACTGAAGAAATGTGCGACAACGGTGTCCTATGCACAACTTATCGCCTTTTCATGGATAGCCCGAAATAAAGTACACTGATCCGCGCTCATGGACGGCAGATACTGCCGATGCATTTACCCACAGACACGCGAATTGGCGCTCGGTGTATCTGGGGTCAGAGTGGGAACGATAATCCGGCGAGTACTATTGGCACGTTCTTTTGCTGGCCCTTCACGGCTTGTCTTCTCTATGCCGGTGGTTGGCAGACCGAGATATGCACTCTGCCATGTGATCGTTCTTCATGAGGCCTGAGTCCGATTTGGATGTTTTGCCAATATCTGGAGATAATTAAGGCTTCCTTCCAATACAGTAAGTTGCCTTGGGCAGTTACCGATGATACCGAAATCATGGCACTATTTTGACCGAGCAGTATTTAGAAGTTGAGTGTTTTCCAAGCTCCTGGAATAACACATTTGTACCTTATGATTATCGCTCGCGGATAGTGGGTATTTCTGCTCGAAATGGATAGCACAAGCTCTTTTGGTCACGAGTTTCCAGAGCATGTGAACGTGCGTTAGCACGCCGGGATTGAATACGGAGTAAGCTGATGTTCACCGAGTCGAACACCTAAATCTGTCATAACATTGCAAAACAAAGCCAACAAATATGACAATAAAAGGATGACAAGCACCAATGCCTGATTCCTGTGCCAATAATGAGCACATCAAATAGAACCGATGTACTTTTTCAAGCGTGCTACTAAATGTGACTGATTGTTACTACCATACCTCAAACTCAACCGAACGATCAAATACGCTGTAGAAATTTTGTATTCAATATAACGTTTCAATTCGCACAATCAACACTTACTGACACCGGATAGCAATGTGTCCATTGCAAAACGCTCGAGGATGGTGCTATGGGCTTTAGTACACCTCAATGGTTTTCAGAACTAACCACAGAGTATCTAATTTAGGAAGCTAAATTGAAATAGGGTGGCTATGTAATACAGTGCTAATACATCCAGGGTCAGTTCATCAGCCGGTTCATCAGACAACATTCTAACCTTCTCAGGAAGATATATTGTTATCATACAATGCTTTATCTCTGTTTTATTGGTCTATTTTATAATTAAAGTTTACGGAATTGTCGGACAAGTTGCAACAATGATGTCAACAGTTGTTTGAATACTTGTTTTCAATTTTCTTGCAGCTAGGCACTGTAACTATCAAAATTTCACTGATATATTAAACTCATAGAATGCTCCGTATTTTGAGAAGTAATCGTGTATGATACTGTACATTGGAACGTCCTCAGCATAATATCATTACATCATACCCAAGCATCTGAAGTATCCAATTATTATTTACAAGGAGTGTCCGTCATTACAAACTGATATCTCAAAAAGAACTCTATGCTTTCTATAGTGTTCATGTACGATTACACAGCCTCCTTTAAACACTGCTAATAACAGCAGGGGCAGAAAAAATATAATAAATATGCGTATGTAGCCCTCTAAATAGTATAATAAATACCGAAGAAGGCTATGAGATATGTGTGATACAATATCTTTTTTAGCCTCCTAAATTCAAACAAAATAAGGTTCATTACTTTTAGGTCGCTTGGTTCATCACATTGTTTTTTCAGAAGGCAGTGTGCCTCAGGCCCTCAGCCATAGCCTTCTAAATTATACCCTCAGGCCTCAGTGGTGTTTACAGTTTAGGAGGTTATTGCTGTCCTAATAAACATCAAAAAAACCCCCCTTTAAATATGCCCGCCAAAATGTTCTGGGGCTTTCTCTAGGCTATGCCAAAACCTTTGTGAAGAAAAAAATGACGGCAACACCGTCAAGCAGGTCGCCAACACACGTAAATGTTATATATTTTATTATGTTCCATCAGTGATCAGACCAGTGGTGTTAACTTAGCCACGATAGCGTGTATTAACTATTTGAATGTATTTAATACGTGTGAAACTATACGAGCTGTGCAATAGTGTATTGACGGGTTGTGTCATAGTGAGGGATCATTGGCCATATAACTGAGAAAGTTCATTAACTATGAGAACGTCCCCTGCTATGTAGAGCGCATTATAACGTTACAGGAATGTCGATAGGCAATTATACGAGCATCAATAGCAACAAAGCTAGTAGACGATTAATCGACAACCACCCACCCGCGACATCAACGTTGTTGTACACAACTTAATATGGTCATTCGGTGTCCGCAGCCGGTGGCACTGCCACCCATACCAACTACAGCGAAAATCCACTGTCTCAACTATGTCGCCGTCGGGTATGTGTAGCATGAACAATGCAAACACAAAATAGTCGTCATAATCATATATTAGTATATAAGTACGCTACTAAGCCTATCCACTCTTGCAATTGGAATTGGCAGAAGTTGGTTATTGTTCTGTACGTATGAAACTTCATAAAAAGCCGAACTTCAGCCGAATGTAAATATGAGTATCCATATGTATTGATTATATCAACTGAACTTTTGATCAACTCTCTGTATTTGCTTACACAGAAACGGAAGATAATTGTTGCATCATATATGAGCAATATCTCGATCACAAAAACAAACGCCAAACAATATATACATACGCACATATATATA